CAACGCTACACATAAAAACTGATGATGGTGGAAAAATACACCGAAACGTATTTTCATTGATAAATAGAGACAATAAATGACTGAAGCCCAGGAATCAATTTTAATTTGGAATTGAAACACAGTCAGGAAAGTATATATAAATTGGCACTTAATATCTTGTGTTCTCATGTAAGAAATACTTTTTTTTATTTCTATGTTTTTTTTTTAGTCATTCCACTAATGAGACCAGGATTAGAACTATTTATGCCTCATTTGCTCTCAAACGCATGTACCTACACACGTTTTTGTATAACAGATTGCCTACTACACGTAAGCACAGATCACAAAGTGTACCTGTGACATCTGTGGACGCAAGTTTGTTTATGTTGATAATTGTCAGTGTCAAACAACCAAAGTGTCAGCCCCTTTATCTCCCTAACGATTTTGGGATTCTTTGATTTCCAGAAGCTGTTTTTTGTCCCTTTCCAGCAACTAAGTAACAATGGCATTCAGGCCCTTAACTGAGGGCGACTGCGGCCAGATCAATCCACTGACAAAGCTCACGTCCCACATAACACAAGATCATGCATTTGCTGAAACTCACGGCCAGATCTTCCCCAACACATCTGATCAATTGGTTGAACAGTTCCTGCAGGAAACGCGGGCTGTGCCCCAGTCTTTCAGAATGGATGGTATAGTCGAATTTTTTGCTAATTTGCGGCGTCTCACGCAGCCATGGGACTGATTTTGGGGCCTTTGTTGTAGACTTGATGAGGGAGATGAACGAAATTGAGTCACAGCGGGCTGTGGTGCCGCCCATTCCAGCTTCAGCAATCAAGGATCAGTTGCATGATGATGCATGGGCTCAACAGTACCTGCAGGATGGGAAAACCTTTCAAGTCAGTGGCAATGTGGTGAGAACCAGATGAACTGAAAGGAGAATGAGGCCTCCCTCATGCTCCCTAAGTACTGTAGAAAGAACGGCCTTTACGCCAATCTACTCCACTGCTAACTAATATTCTCGCATTTGAGAGCTTTGTGGAAATTGTGATCATTTTCTAAAGGAACACAACTACGACGACATCTGGAACCAAATCGCGTCGCAAAGCCAGCCACAAGATTTAAGTTTCAACATTTTCACGGACGCCTGGAAAGACTTAAAGTCTCTGGAATTCGATCAGTTCCAAAACGACAATCACGAAACAGCTCAACAGTCAGGAATGGAAATGAACGACAAAAAATTCGTATACTCAAAGGTGCTTAACTGATTTATCCATAAGGGCGCGAAGGAATCCTTCTTGGTTTTAGTTCATGAAATTTATGAAGAACGTTGAAGAAGACCAACTAAATCTGGACGATGGGAAGCTGACCCAGGACGAGGCACAAGCCTGGACAGAGGAGTTCTTACAAAGTAAAGAAACACCCGGCCTGAATGGGGCCTGGGACGATGCCTGCGAAAGCAATCGAGGTGCGTTTGTTGAGAATCGCTTTTTGCCCCGATTCTATTAGTTGCCCGCCTTGATAGTTGAGCAGGAGAATCGATGGGATCAGCTGCAAAAAGACATTGAAAAGAACATGGCCAGCGATGAAAACACACTTCACTCCTGGCTGGAAGACTTCAACGTATTTTACAATACTCCTCACAAGGTGATGCGAGCCAACGCGCTAAAGCAGGCGCTAATATCTCGATTTTAGGAGTACGAGTTCAACGAAGAAAACCCCATGATCGATTTGCCAAATCCGGTTGAACGGGGAAAACAGCTGTTGGAGGAAGGCGACTTTCCCAGCGCTGTTCTCTGCTTTGAAGCGGCCGTCGCGAAGCAGCCGGAAAATGTTGAAGCGTGGCTCCTCTTGGGCACAACGCAGGCTGAAAACGAACAGGCAAGTGGTAATTCGGCTTCAGTTTTCGCTTCTTAATTCAGTCATTTTGCCCGCTGTAGGATCCCAGTGCCATTGCCGCTCTAAACAAATGCCTAGACTTAGACCCCAATAATTTGACCGCCCTCATGTCGGCAGCGGTCAGCTTGACGAACGAAAGTTACTACAACCAGGCCTGCTCCATGCTGATCAACTGGCTGAAAAACAATCCGAAATACAACGATTTAGTGCCAGCAAATTTGAACGCTTCTCGGCAAGTTACAAGCTTTTTAAATCAGTAAGTGTGTGTGGTCGGCTGGTGGGCTTTCTTTCTTATGCATGCTTTTACACGGTCACACTGGTTAATACACCAACCAGCGCTGAACAGAGCAACTTTAAAGTGAAGGTAAATATTGTACGTTCATGGGTTTTTCGGGTTTTTAGGTCTTCATCCGGTAGAACTTCTTCTTGACGTTTCGCAAGCACGAGTGGCTTGCATCTTCAGAAGTGGTTTGCTTGAACGCTTACACTGTTCTCATCAGAACCCG